ACGGAGGCCGTAGCACGCGCAGGACGTGTAGGGGCCGCGCAGGTTCGCATCCCCAGGCTCCGGGAGGGCTCAAGGCTGAAATGCCGAACAAAGGCAGGCGCGGAGAGCCCCGGGCGCAGGGGGTGGGAGAAGGCCAACGAGAGGAAGGAGAACGGGGCTTCCCAAAAAAAATCTCTAGAGAGCTGGCTTTATCTTCCACCCACGGGGCAGGAGGCCAGCCCCATAACCCGGAGCTGCCCGTGGGTCCCTCCGGGAAAAGACTCACACGTTGTCAACAGCTGGGCCATCGCAGCGTGCGGAGGCTGCAGAATGAAGGGCTTGGGGTGTGGGACGGGGGTGTCAGCGGGGCCGCCCGGACCGTGACGCTAACCCTGGCTCGACCTCGCCCCAAGCTGGACGGAATCTTGGAGCCTCAGTGCCCTCCTCTGCACACTGGGAGCTTGGAGCGGTGGCTTCCCAAGCGCTTTGAGCTCTGATCCTCATTTGGGGGCCAGGAGCCCTGGACAGGGCGCCGGAAACTGGACGGGAATCTGCGGTGCTGCTGCCCAGAAAAATGGCGCCAATGTGTGGGTGGGTGAGTGGGGTGACTACGAGCAACGTGCCCTCGTGTGGAGCTCCGCAGGTGGGACACCCCCCTCCCAAGGCCCGGGACCCCTCCCCGTCAGCGGAGAAGTGGGAAGGGCTGGGATGCATGATGTCCAGAAAACCCAACACCCACACGGACACATAGACATGGACACAGGAACGGACCCCTACTCGCACACGGACACACACAGACGTGCCTTCAAGTCTCCGCGATGCGAAGGCGCTCGGGGAGCGCGGAAGGGTCCGCCCATGGGGCCCCCTCGCAAGCGCGGAGCCTCCCCCGGGGCTGCAGGGAGCGTCCAGCCCCAGCGGCACTGTCTGCCCGGAATCAAGCCGGATCCGCTGGCAGGAAAGGCTTAATCCGCTAGGCATGCCTCCGAGAAGTGCCCGCCTGCCCCGCCGGCACGAGGTGGGGGATGTCATTCCCCGGAGACGTTGCCAGTCCCCCAAGCTCGGAGCTGGGGTTGGGGGGAGCGCGGGAGAGCCACGAACGAGGTGGTGGGGAAGCCCCCAGACCCAGGGTGGATAGCATCTTTTCAACTCCACATGGACAGCTGAGAAACGTGGAGCGGCCTCGCGCCCCCCTCTCGGGACTTAGCGGCGCCGCGAGGCTCCGCTCCCCTCTGCTCCCCTCCCGGAGGTGTCGACGACTTGAGTCCTTGGGGACCCGGCTCAGACCCCTCAAGTGTTCAGTGCAGCCAAGCGGCTTGAGCCGAATTCTGTCGCCCGGGTCCGCCGTGGCCTCCCACCCGCCCCGAGCCTCATCGGAGCTTTGGGGACACTACGAAGGTGCCTCATCCAGAAGTCCGAG